GGTAGGTGTTACGACGAGTAGAGGTTCGGATATGATATATCCGTTGGAGCCCATATCTTATTGGATATCTAATAAGTCCTTGAATTATTGGATCATATGGATGTGATCTAATAAGAGCTAATAAGAGATTCTTGGGTAGAGACCCACTAATCTAAGAGGCTTAGATAATTGGATGAATATCCAATACCCATGAGGGCAGGATCCATTAGGGTTAACTGGGGGCCTCTATAAATAGGAGGGAACTAAAGGCCCATAGGCTGGGGCTTCTTGGTTGCTACCTCATATTCTCCTCTCCCCTTCTCCTCCTTAGATAGCAAGCATGGAGATCTGAGGAGCATCGTCGTAGCCCTACTGTGTGGATCACTGCTAAAGATGAGGACGCTTGACCTCCTTCATTCTCTCTAACAGATCTATAGGAATTTAGGGCTATACAATCTCTCTAGGTAACATAATTGTCTCACACATGATTTTTTGTGTCGCAGGTTTTGCACACTAATCTACGTATGACAATGAACACATATTGAAAAATTTGGGATTTTTGTTTTATATTCTTCCATTGTGCATGTGATGTCGCCCCTAGATTTCCCTACAATCCCGACCTTGAGCATTTCTCCTCCGTACTGACATGATGTTGCCTCCAGAAGCTGGTCCACTGATGATGACATCTACTTACTTCTTGACAGGGCTATTGGGACACGGAGATGCTTCTCTTGGTTTCTTGAGGTAGTGCCCGAGATTCCCTCTTTGGATCAGCTCTTTGATTTGGTTCTAGAGGTCACGGCATTCCTTCGTATCATGACCTTAGTCTCGGTGAAACCTGTAATATTTAGATCAATCCTTGTGAGTGGCTTTTAGTAGGTTGGGTTCTATTAGGAGCCCATTCTCCTTGATTTGAAGAAAGATTTTAGTGTAGGAAGTGTTGAGGTAAAGAGGGGTGGGTGGCCTCGGGAGCAATAGCTTGGGTCGATCAAACCTCCTTTGAGGTTATGCCACATATAGCCCCAAGGTCACCCCTACGGGTTGCTCCATGCGAGGCCTCTTGTTGTCTTCATGTTTCCCTGCCATCAACATCTCAGCCGCAATGTACTGGTTGGCGTGCTAGAGCATCTGAAGGATAGTTGCAGGCAGCCTTTCAATCAGCGACCAAAAAAATCTTGAGGGTCATAAGGCCATCAGGAATGCCTACATGATTAGGGAGGGATGAGTGTCCGGGACTCCTCGGATCTCGGTGGCGAAGTGTGCAATGAATTAAGAGAGAGATTTATCGTCTCTCTAGCATAGCACGAGGAGCGTGGCCATGAAAGGCTTGGGCTATATGTTGGCTAGGAATTTATGCTCAAATTCCTTCGTGAGCTGATCAAAGGATGCGATCGAAGCTAGTTGCAGCTGACTAAACCAAATCCAAGCTAGTCCCTTGAGAGTGGTAGGAAATACCCGACACATCATGGCGTCGAAAGTGCCACAAAGGGCCATCTAGGCCCAGAATGTGGTGATGTGCTTTACTAGGTCAAAGTCACCATCGTATGTTTTACGACTCGAGAGTCGAAAGTTGAGGGGGATAGGCTTATCCTAGATCTCTTAGGTGAAGGGGAATCCTCTCGGGTGGCTCTCCCTAGCCTCACCCCGTGACTTGTGAAATTTCCGTTAGAACTCGTCCAGGCGTTGGTTGACAAGAGATAGTTGGGCCCTGAATGAATCGTCGGCCAAGTCTGATGATAGGGTCTCGGGCTTAGGGAATAGGGGCGGGGCCGGGCAAGATATAGGGTCAGGGAATGGGCTTTTATGCTTGCGGGCGAGGGTCGATCGTACGTGATCTGATGATGGCGACCGACTCCTCAGGCGATCGACTTATACCTTTGTGCAAGCGTCAATCAACCTACATAGATTTGCGTCGCGCGACGTCGTTCCAAGCTTTTCAGAGCGGCTTTGTACTGTACGATGTTGTCTCGTACGACTTCGGACGTTGCGGGAAGGGGTAGTCGCCCTCTCGAGTCCGTGGTACCACGTCGATGCAACGCTCCATCTCATTCTCGAGACTCCATGTCCGCGCTAATGTGTTTGGTGACTATAACATTTTTATTTATATCCATCATCAGACAAGTTACTTATCTAAAACTATCCAAGGCCGATAAGTGAGATATTATGTTTGTGGATAAAAAAAAAAGTTAATTCTAAGATACTTATAAATTAATTCAGGGAGGTATATATTAATTAATTATAGTAAGTATTGTTCTAATGGATCAGATCCCTTCTTTACATCTTTACACGGATGGCGAAAGAAGCTCAAGAGATCGACATTGAGCCAACCTAAAACATGACAGAGGGGCAATAGGTGCATCACACCTAATGTTGTTCCCTCGGAACACCTAAAGCTGTCACGTCACATCCAACGCTTCCACGTGCATCACATGTCTGGGATTAGGATCAATTTCAGGGGTATTTTTGTCACATCAGGTTTTCATCTTTGATCGACGATTCTAATCTTATATTCTGAGGTCGACAGCATTAAAAAAACAGAAAACGAAATGGGCGTAAACTGCAAGAGAGAACCTTTTTCGTCTCCACGCGTCAAGAGAATGCATGTGAATCGTTGCTTCTCGTAGGTTACACAGCTCAGCGGATCACAAACGCTCACACTGTCGGCAACCAAAGAGATCGAGTCTAAGATTATGTGGCACCGTTCGGAATGCGTATATAATTAATATATTCAAAATGTACTCACTGATACCGAATCGATCAAGAACGGAAACTAAATCGAGTTAACGCTTTGATAGTTTCAACTGAATCAAAATGAGTTTGGCTGTTCGACGACGATTTAGTTATGATCTAATAAAAAATTAAAATTAAATAATCACATATTCTTTCGAATGATAAATATATCCTTTTCAAACTAATAATAAATAGTTATTAGGACGATCAACAATAATAATAAAAACGTAAGTTTTATTTATTTGGGATCCGATGTGTTATGTTATTGAGATCTTAGCTACGCTTAACATTATAATTTCTATATTTAAAAAAAATTATTTTGAGAACTCTATAAGTGAAACATTTAATCTCATTTTTTCTTATACCATCGATTCTATTGATAGTAGATACTACACGTACTACAACATGCAAAAAATAATGTGCTATCCTTTTCTAGCTTCACTATCCTCTTATATGACCAACGAAAAAGCTTTGATTAAATCTCGAAAACTTATTCATCAAAATGAGCTTATTTAGGGCGGTCGTCATCTTGTCGATGCTTCTTGGAAGGCAATCATGGATCTTGTTATTGATGATGATGACAATGGAGCCTTCTTCTTGGGTATTGGATCCCCATCCAGTAACCTCTTAATGGATATTGGATCCTCATCTAATAATCATCCTAAGCTCAATTTGATCTCTCCAAAGGATTTATTAAAACAAAGGCTTATCGAATATCTCATATTCGATCCTCTATTCGTTGCATTATCCACCATATGTGTATGACCCTTTGGGCTCAATAGCGAGCTGGCCGTGAGATGCACCTATTAGAACTCCTTCTGACTCAATGAATTATTATCCCCATAATAATTCACCCAACTCATCAACTATGAACGTATTAGACCACTATGCCATAATCCTCAAACGGTACAGGAAGATCTAATCCATTGGACATATCTATCCTTAGTTATCGTGTATATATAGTCTCTCATCAATCTAATATCTCAGAGATCGCATACCGAGCATGGTATTATCAGGTCCATATGAAATCTATTCGAGTCTCACTCTAATTGGATTCTCCTAGAGAACTCTCTTAATCCAAATCTCATGCTTATTAGATTTATCACGATCCGATTGACCCTAGCTAAGGATTTGCTTGAGTGAGAGCATATGAGATATTTCTCTAATGAAACTGAGAGTATATGATCTTTTCTATATACATTCAATTGCCCTCGTAAAGTTGGCTATCACTCTCTATGAGTAATTATGCTCAATCTAGAACTTCTAAACCTACAAGTTTGGTATCAAAAAGTAGAGTACTCAAATAAAACATCCTTGGTGTCTCAAATCTAAGGACCATACATAAAACTAGAATTACGAAATTACTGTCTTACGATAAGATATCATTAATCAACCAGCATTCTACAAGCAAATCATTCAATTAACTCATTCTCCAATTAATACCTATATTATATCCTTAGTGTCCCCACATAAGTACCTATGAGATTAACTGGCTCCATTATATGGATGAGTATATAACACACTAGTCTTTCCAATCATTTCGATATCTCTCTCGAGTAACCTATGACCGAGAATATTTAGAGTTTGTATTTATAGGCAAATTGATCTCATCATGATCCAATTCTCATTATATAAATCCAAGGATATCATAATATATTTATCATCAATATAAAGTGATAAAATATCATAATAATGATGATGATGATGATGATGATGATAATAATAATAATAATAATAATAATAATAAATTATATAACGTATCACACGTGTTATCACTATGCAGGACACTTATAACAGGACACTTATAACTAACAAGTCACACATGTCAGGATCGACCCAATTACTGATGAAGTTGTAGGGCTTGAAGAACATGGCTTTCTTCCATGCCCTAAGAGCAATGTAGGCATAATGGAGGTAGGGATTAACGATAGTGATGCCAATCTCAACATCGAACTCAAATTTGTCAAGTAAATCTCTCTTCTCCGAAAGGGCCAGGAGTTGACGATGCATGATAGAAACAACCTCAGTATTGGAGATAGCCAAGGAAAAACACGAGGGAAAAGAAGTGAAGCAAAATATAGCAAAGCCGAAAGAGAGGATAGTGAGACCAGCAATTACAAAATTACCTTTTTATATATTTTTTAACATCTTTTTCTATACATGACAATATATTCGATATATTCCGTCAATAGAATCGATTATGTGAAGAAAAAAAATTAAATATTTTATTTTTATAAATATATAGATCCTAATAAAACTTTTTAAAGTACATGATAAACATAACTAATTACTGAAATCAATCAAAAATATATATAACCGCACGTGTCAATACCTACGTCAACCTGACGAGTCATCATCCAACCTCGTCTGTATGCATGCCTGATGAATTCAAGGTTACAAATCTGCATCCATCTTACAAGAGAAGATGCACCAACATAGTCAGAAAACATTCTCTTGCAAGGCCGATAACTTTTATCTATAAGACATAGGTTGCATAAGGTTGCAGGACCCCTGAAGGTAAATTGGCTCAGCAGCACACACATCGGACAGCAATTCCAATTGTTTGCTAATCGTATTGTTGCCTCAATTGCATCTCTGTCTCAGTCTTCCAAGTCGCATGGCTCGATTGTCCCTTCATCCTCTTAAGCTTCTCCTTGTCTTTGACAGTCGATCCCTTCGTTTTATCGGACACTTTCTGTTCTGCAATAGGGCGATCTCCGCAAACTGGGCACACCATACCACGGGAATGAGAGTAGGTCTTAGGAATCCCACACTGCAGGCACACCCTAAAACAAAAAAACAGTCATATTAGGCAGGAAAGCAACATAAAGGCTACACTTTCTTGAAGGGGGAATCACCAAATTATCTTGAAGTAAATCCCAGGAATTTGTACCTCCAAAAGAGGTTTGCTTATTTCTGAACAATACAATTTCTGGTTGGCATTACCAAAAGATTTTTATCTTTCCTATACCAAAATGAGATTCTTGCTGTAAGCATCTACTACCAAACACCCAAAGCCATTAGTGACTATATAATGTAAATTGCATTCATCTTGCCAAAGCCAATCCACAAATTTCATCTTGTGGGCCACCTACATTATCATTGGCTTTTCATCGTTCTACCTTCTATCTTCAATTTCACACATGATTGCTACAGTGTCATACGGAAACTTACCCACCCACTTTTCGCCTCATGTCTCAAGCATTACTCAATTCAAAATAAGCCACAAAATCATGTGCTAAAGTCATTTTTAAGGCAAGTTTTGCCTACAGGACAAGCTTAGTTAACAAAGATTTGACCACATGCTTCAAAAGAATTTCTTAAAGTAGAAACAGTTCAAGGAAGCTTTTCTCTGGCTTCAAGCAATGACTTAACTGCACAAGGACTGTCTGCTAGTGTAACACAATTACCATTGAATCAACGACATAATCAAATTATTACATTAGCAAACCTACAATGACTTCAAGTGCGGTAGTGATAAAAAGAATGATTCTAAGAGGGAACTTATTAGCGTATGAAACAAAAATAAAAATGTATGTTATAACACTGTAAAACAATACCGATATTGTAGCAACACTGAAGGGGGTCTCTAATCATTACTTCAACCTGTCCATTCACTTGCTACACTTTATAAGCAGATATTGTAATAAAAAAAAGCATAACATTTGGAATACAAAATTGATTGATTTTGACAGGGTGATGGAGGACCATTGAGCTTTACAAATGATTTCAAAAAAAATTATTTTAGTTTAGGATATCAACAAAAAGACTACTTTGAGTGGTATAGAATGATTGATATTGAATGTATACGAGTTGCAAAAGTAAAACTGGTAAGCACTCCTAGGAAATATTGGCAACATATCCGACGTAGTCTTGAACACCGTCGAGAACCTCCCATCACTCAATGGTAAATCATAAAATAAAAATTTAAGGAAAAATATTTACTAGCATACTTTCGACGCCAATTGGTTGAACAATTATTAAACCTTAAATAGTTGAATTCTAGTGTGACAAAGTATTTGGCCCAATTTGAGGAACTTTTACTTAGGTATGAAATAAAAGAGGACTAAAACATCACTGTCCGAAGATTTGTTAGTGGATTGAGGTTTGACAATCAACGGGAAGTCTCCCTTAGTTTCCCTGACACCATGGAGGAAGCTTCCCGATGAATCCTTAAGATTGATAAGTACATCAAACTTTATCCAACTCATCAAACATCTACTGTGTCTCTCGACAATAGAACTATTACCCAATCTACCCCAAGTAGTGACTCTGTCAAGTCAAAAATCCCCACTACTAGCAACAATCTTGGCCCAATCATGAATCGTCCAACTTGTTTAACTACTTATTCTTAAACTAGTTCGTCTTCAATCCAATGGCATTACTACCATGGTATAAGTCACATTGCCTCTTTTTGTCCTCAATATACCCTTAAAACAAGAACCAAAGCATCAAATCAAGGAAGTAGACCAAGTACTTGAACCCAAAGCCTACTCAAGTGATGAAAACGAACTAGAAATTAAAGATGCCCATGTTAGTGTTGTTCGCATTATTCTCTATACTGCTAGGGAATCCAATGAATGGAAGAGGACAAGTATCTTCCATACTTTTTATTCAAAGTGGGGAAAGAACTTGCAAATTGGTTATTAATGGGAGTAGCACCGTGAACGTAGTCTCAAAATCTACTATCAAGAAACTAAACCATAAGGTAGAGTCACATCCGACTCCATTCAAAGTAGCTTGAGTTGATAAAACCAGTCTACTCGTGATCAAGAGTTGCAAATTGGTTATTAATGGGAGTAGCACCGTGAACGTAGTCTCAAAATCTACTATCAAGAAACTAAACCTTAAGGTAGAGTCACATCCGACTCCATTCAAAGTAGCTTGAGTTGACAAAACCACTCTACTCGTGATCAAGAGATGCCTAGTATCAATCAAAATGAGCGATTACCAAGATGAGATTTATTGAGATGTTACCCATCTTCTATTAGATCGACCTTGGTTGTGAGAAAACACTTACGTCTTTCTATACAAAGGCAAAAACATCATCCTGGGAGTAGCAAAACTGTCAGAAAAGAACAAATTAAGAACTCCCAAGTCTCCTCCACAAGCCCCAACCACCAAGGAACTCTATTGACTAGATCCTAAGTCTTTTGTAATTAAGCATTATTCTGACGCTCAAAACAAATCTGTTGATGCCCTTAGTAGAATTTCTACAATCCTATCTACCATGAGTGTTAAGGTCATAAGATTCGAACGATTAAAAGAAGAGTGTACCCAATGTTCAGGCTTTAATCACATATATCGAAAAGTCAAAGATGAAAATCGTCATCAACATACGAACTTCATTCTTAGGGATAGTTACCTTTTTCGATCTACTAGATTATGTGTTCCCCAATCCACCCTTTTAGAATTTCTTGTTTGGGAAATGCACGCAGGTGGATTTGCAGGTCACCTAGACCGAGACAAAACCAATGCATTAGTCGATGATAGATTTTACTGGCCTGCCTTAAAGCGAGATGTTGCTTGAGTAGTGTCCCAGTGTCGTACCTGTCAAATTGCCAAAATTCACAAGCACAATACTGGCCTATATACCCTATTACCCATTCCATATTCACTATGGCAATATGTGCGTTTAGATTTTATCCTTCGACTTCCCAAAACAACCCATGGCCATTATTCTACTTTGGTTGTTGTTGATCAATTTTAAAAAATGGTCTACTTTATCCCATGTAATAAGACTAGCGACACCTCATACATTACTAAATTGTTCTTTCGAGAAGTGGTTAAATTACATGGCTTGCTCTTAACTATGGTGTCCGATAGGGATGTGAAATTTGTTAGCTACTTTTGAAAAATTTTATGAAAACTATTTAACACAACATTGAAGTTCTCTTTAGCCTTTCCCTCCCAAATTGATGATCAAACTGAAGTTGTTAATCATTTCTTGGAAAATCTTCTTAGATGTTTAGATAGAGAGAAACATGAAAACTAGGACTTAACCTTACCCACTACAAAATTTGCATATAATAACTTAGGAAACCACACCACCAAAAAAAGCCTATTTTAAACTATCCTCGGCTATACTCGATGACCTTGCACTCCTTCCATTTGACTATCGTGCCTCAGAACCAGCCTACTCCTTCACTCAACATATTCATGATTTGCATGCTGAGGTTTGACGTAAAATTGCTCTAAGTAATGAAAATTACAAATTTATTGCTAATGCACATTGTAGAAGTCAAGAGTTTCAAGTTGACGATTGTGTCTTGGTTCACGTTCGCCTAAGAGATTCCCTAAAAACTCATTCAAAAAATTGTATGCTCGAGCCATTGGTCCTTTCCCATTATCCAAAATATGTGATCTAATACATATATGCTCAATTTGCCTTCCAACTTAAATATTAGTCTGATTTTCAATATGGAAGATTTAACTTCATATCATAGTCCTTTTGAGCTTACTCTGTCTACCGGTGTTCTTATAGGTGACAATCCTCTCAAAGCACCAATTCTCCCATAACACAGGGATGGCATAGGCGTCATTCTTGATTGACTGCCTTATTACATCTGTCATCTGCTACTAGCATTACTCAACATTTTCTTATCAAGTGGCATGATCGTCCAGCTTCCAATGCCACTTGGATTACTTTGGAGGAACTTCATGACTTTGCACCAGACTTATTAGACCAGTACCTAGCAGATCACTCTCTAAGGTCGAGTTTTTTTTTTCCACTGGAGGAGAATGATGAAAAACTATCGAGCTTTATAAAGGATTTCAAAAAGGTTGATTCTAGACAAAGATATCAATAAAAAGTGATCAATTAGTTGGTCTAGAAATTCTAAGAGTTGTGTTAAAAATTGAAAAGTCTTGTGGTCTTTCTAAGGATTCCTTTTGTATTAAGTGCACTCATTTACTATTTAGGTATCCTATAAGTCACATTTTGGATTTCTAAAAGATACTAATTCCCTAACAGATTATTCTTGGAAATCATTGTCTTCATTAATTGTACCAAGTCTCCTAAATCCCTAGAAACGGTAAAGCTTGTTAATGGATCAAACATTTTATATTTGAATGAAAAGAATTGTATATTTTCTAGTCTCTTATCTCACACTTCTCTTTCCTTTTCTTCCCCTCTCTCTCTCTACTTCACTACTTTGTTCTACATCACAAGGCTAGTGTTACTAGGTTACCAAAGAAAAACATAAATCTCATGTAAATTTAGTTGTAAAATTCTTTCCAACTTGCTTAATTTTCAGAAATTAGTTCAGGTTTATACCCAGAAATATTGAGTTTTTTTATCAAGATAATCAATGAAGAAATATAGAAAAGAAGATAAAAAATTTTCATGTGACATTGATTTCGGAAAAAAAAAAACATATCATAAACTTTTTAGATATTTATTATGGTGAGTTTAGAAGAGAAAGAAGTACTAATAAGCAAAGTTCCTAATGTTGCCCAAAATGGCACAGTATCTACTAGTCCAGATATAATCGGGATATTCTGGCCATGGTATTAGGGTTAAAAAGAAATAAAAAATTTGGGCCTACACTGAATGCTAAGCCTGGTTCTTTGAAACTTAATGTTCAGGCCAAACTACATATAACTTACATATTTAGATTTTGGGGCCAAAATTACTGCTTTTATCTGAATGTTCCCTGGATCTTTCGCACAATATCAAGTCTAGAGTGTTATAAAACAGTGATTTCTCTTATTCTTCATTCAATTTTCATCACTAGAAATATGTTTTTCCCTTGCCAACAGCTTCTAAAAAGCATTAATCTATAAAGTTACTCATCCTCATCATCAAATTTAAGATTATCTGAATTTTGCTTCTCAACTGTCATTAACGTATATTTAGAGAACAGGTACCTTAACAATTCTGCAGCATCTTTTGGGTCAGGATTTGTTGCAGAAATGAGACGCTTGCCACCAGGTATCATGCTGGAGTTTGATGTGGGACAGCTTCCCTCTACGTCATTTCTTACTCGGTCACGAATTCCAATTAATTGAGCTTTGGCCTCAACAACAGCACCTGGAATGTCAAGTTTATGTCATATAGACAGTGAAACAGGACAGAAAATGAAAGCAAAAGAAAAATCAAAAGCAACGGCAGCAGAGCATACAAATGCAGAACAAGTAAAGAACAGACATCTGATATTGAAATTTACGAACACACAGACAAGTCAGACAAAAAATTCATGTGTGAGGTAGTTCAATCTAATTCTTTTGAGGACTAGGGTGATGCTTAAATATCCAATTTTTTTAATTGAATTTGTCTTTTATATTCTAAGAGTCAAAACATTATCTCCTTTTAGGAGTTTGTAGCTTCTTTCATGTGAGAGTTAGGATCCTAACAAACTTTGTACATACAATGTGCAAGCTGAACCAAATAACAAAATCAATGAAGTTATATCTCTCTAGGTGTTACGGTATATCCGTCTTAACTAGTTAAAAGTCCAAAACACATGCTAATAGCATCCTAATCCAACACATGTCTAAAGCCTTCTTCAGATTACCTACACATGTCCTGGATATACATGATAAATTAACGTACCAATAAACAAAAGTAGATAATACTTTCATATGGTTTCATTTGGTCTGAAATATTTATGCTGCTTATGTGATGCAAAGAGAAATGAGGGACCTGTCCAGCATGGCTTGGATGAGCTTTACCCTTTCTTTTCTTAATTATGCACAAAGCATTATTCATACATGTATTGCACATATATTCTAGGATCTGAAAAATGCTGATTTCATCCAACAAGTTCCCATGTCTAGCACAGAGAATCTTGGCAAACTCATAAAGCTAACACAAAGAAGATGGTAGAGGTGTAAAGTCTTCAACGTGAGAGCTATAACCTGATGAAAAAATTTAGTGTGATGTCCAAGTCAGGATGAAGGCATGGAATAGATGGTGGACTTCAAGACATGATTAAATTACAGTAGTGTTGAGTATAGGTGTCCGGTACAGATGAGGAAAGGGAGAAGTATAGGTGGAAGGGACAGATTTCTTATCACTGGCCAAGAACAAGCCAGTGATAAGAATAAAGACAGTAGATCGTGGTACAAATTGAAGCTAGCTATGTTGCTCATCAACATAATTCCAAAAGTTTTGAGGCATGTTAAGAGTGAAAAGAGAGGAATAGAAAGACAGTAGGATTAGATAGTTGACTGAATAATGATATCATATTCCTATAAGGCAACACCTTATAATATACCATGAAGACCGAATGTAGGTACCAGAGGTATTAAGAGTTCTACCAATTAAAAATAACTGAGTTGTCAATCCAAGAAGTTAAACCAGGTGGGATATGTTGTCTCACAATCAACTTCTAAAAGATTATGCAATTGTAAATGTACTTTCTTGCAGATAGATAAGTAAAGATGACCATTTATCTAACTGTAGCTTCAATGCTTTTGACCATTTAAGTATAAAACATTACCTGACTCTGGAAGAGAAAAGGAAATTTAGAAATCTGAAAGACATACACAACATGGACCAAATATTGTAATAAGAAAATGAATGAGGAATTGATGAGGGCAATATTCATAAATCTTAGAATGTCTTGGTAGAGGATAACTAACTGATAATAGATGTGCTGCAAGCACATCAATATAAGTGGAATACATGATACAAATCCTAACCAATAATTCATGAAGAAAAATAGTTAGTACTTGATGAAGAAAAATTGTAAATTCACAAAAAGTTAAATATATTGTACAACAGAGTGTGACAAAAGCTTATAATAAATAAGTAATCATTTACATGTATCACGAATTTGCTTCTTTTCTTGCCAACTTATCCATTACTTGTTAATCCATGAGAACATGATAAATCACTAACAGTTTTAAATACCTCATTGATAAGTACATGAACTCTAAAATGAAAATAGTTATTCTTGATTTGCATAAGGACTTCCATACCAAAATGTTTTGATGTTAAACCAGGCCCATGGCTCATCACCTCTAATTAATCTAACACATTAATGAAGATTATTCATTTAAAGACATTCTACAAACTAGACAATTTTAAACCTAAAAGAATAAATAAACAAACAAATAGCACATTATCTTATTTTGTCATGTGTGTTGTACACCAAGGAAGGACATAAGTTGTACACTCACATTAATTTTGATAAGTTGTAGTCCACAGATAGAACCCAAAAATCATTACTTATTTAATTAAAAGAAACTAGACTTCCCTGGACCCGAAATCATTCAGTTTCTGATGGATGTTCATCACAAAACCAGGGCTCAGCATGTATCGTGAATACCAAGTGATGAAATATTTGCCAACCAAGATGGCAGCAGTAGTCATAATCGTATTCTCGAGGAAGTAAATCCTAATCAAGGGACTAATTTAGCATATAATGTAATATCAACAAAAGGACAATTACAGAAGGGAAAAAATAAAGCAAGAACCTTTACAAGCTAGGGTTCCTAAATTTCCCAAATAAATCATAAAAAATACAACATTTTTGTATTACCCACCAGCTGGAAGATCTTTCCTGTCTCTCTTGGATCTATTCCTCATTCTCCGATCGAGCACCCCCAGCGCCTCGGTTGTCTCCTCAGGTGCAGCAGCACAATTGTTGAGGAACTCAGGCGGCCCCGTGATCTCCACGATGCCAAGCAAAATCCAAAGGCAAAAGAATAAATATTTCACCCCTAGGTATGGCAACCAAAACGAGGGACATCCATAAGAAGACATAGAACGAAAGGTACCTCATCGAAGGCATCTAACGCGGAGGGGAGGAAGGAATTAGCGGGTGGACCAGAGGCATCCGCGAGCGACCTCTTCCTTTTCACTCGCCTAGAACGTTCCTTCAGGGCTTCTTCTTCGTCGTCGACCCAATCCTCCTCCTCGCCATCCTCTCCACCCCTTGCTTCATCGTCGCTGAGAAAAGGAGAAGAAGGAGAGGCTCTTGCGCCGACCTCTTCCTCGTCCGAGGAGTAGCCCTGCAACAGTGCTAAGCTCATGGCCGTAACCCTCTTCTCGGCTTCGGTCTCAGCCAAACTTCCAAGCCACACCGATGGAACCGTTTTATATAGTTTATAACGGTCCGTTGCGAGACGTCTACGACGGGCCAAATATGCCGTTATATAATGATTTATCTCGGACACAACACGATATATTCCAGCGACATTATATATATAACACACACATTAGTATATACATACTATATCAGGAATAAAGTTTATTTTGTTGTTAAAATTATTCGAGCTTTTCTTTTTGTTTCGACATGATTTTTTTCTACGTTTTAATGACTTATTTTGAACTTAAACGTAGGTGGGCTTGCAATTGAAGAAAGTGTGGAATGGGCTTCGCATGGGCATGATTCGGACATCTCCACATTCGGAGGGAGATGTGTTCGAATGTGTTTTATTGATTCACAAATATAAGATTTCAAGCAAGTGATTACTAGGAATGATAGCAAATTAAGTATTTTTAGTATTCGCACCATTTCAACTTGGTCGAATGGGATTATAATAAGTTTTGTTCATATAGACTATAAGTATAAGATTTTGGATCCTATATGTTAGTGGATCTAATGAACTATGTATTACCGATCCGATAAAATAACTAACTTATTAATCTCATTATACTTTAATGATTATTCTAAAATGTTTTAAGGGTTTAAGTGAATATATGGTTGTCAAATACTTTGAATATTTAATAAATAATAGATGAAAATTATATTTTAAGTATGTATTGATGTAAGTTTTGTTCATTTTAAAAGTCTATTGAATATTTTATGATAATTAATATTTATTAAAAAAATAAATATATATTTTTTTATTTAAATTAATACGTAAAAAAATAAAATAAATGAATGAATGTATATAATCTTATAAAAATTTCATATGGCTCAAATATACAATAAATAAAAATATAATCAAATAAATAAATATAAAATATTATTTTTAAATAAATAAATAAAATTTTACCATTATAGAAAATATAAACATATTGATTTCTCAAAAATCATTTTGGTAATCTTATAATTTTAGGCAAAGTCATAAGATATTTTTTAATTTTTAAAAATTATATTACCATTCTATAAATGTTGAAATGCTAATGTTATCGAGAGATAATATCGGTATTTAAATATTTTCAAAGCAACATCCATGCCAATGTAATTTGAAAAAAAATTATCGAATATCCATTTACTTTTAAAATGTTCATTAGGCCCTCAATGCCATATCTCAGATGTGTTTCAAAAAGTACCTTAAATTTATTCGGCACTTATAAGTTTATTTGGGTCTTGCCCGGAGTATATCCCATAACACTTCTACCTGACTTATCTAAGTTAATTTTGATGCTATTTATTAAGATTTAATCTGAAATAATAATAGACTCATTAATCTGATGGAACCAAAACAATTGATCTAAATTAATTAAGACTAAATGATTGAAACTAGTAAAAGTAACTCATAATTAAGTCCAAATTAATTATGAGTTAGATCCATCCAACTCATAAGCTATTAAGGTTTTCTCTCACTTTGGATATGTGATTAAATCAAGGTATTTCATTTAATAATTATTCTCTTTGTTTTCAAGTACAATAACAGGTCTGGAAAGTAAGTAAGTTGAAATTAATGTGTCCACCTAGATAATTAATGATTAATTCTTTCTTGTAAAATACACCACAAGTGTCAAAGACCCTAAAACAAATTAAATGGACATTATTTAGCATCATATGGTAATAAGAAATGTGATGGGTGATTATATTTGTGGAAATGACATCTGCAGCAAAATTCCATTTCATGTCACCTTTGAGATTTTGTTTTTAATGTCTCAACTACTCTCTCCATTTGGATCAGTGAGTGCAGCATACTATATATATAGTCCAGATTAAGCTTCTGCAATCAGCATACTATACAGTCCGTTTGCTTTTAGTACTCGAGTTACAAGGCTTGTTCAGTAAAACCCTAAAAGCAGTGGAAAGCTGAGAGGGTTCAGTAAAGGTTTTCTTCCGGTACTGACCAGATCACAGACTCCATTTAACTCCTGCTTTCGTGCTCAGCTTACAGGACTTGTTCCCTGCTAAATTGCTGGAACGCAGGAAGGGGGGGTGGGGATGGGGGGGGGATCTCTATGCTTTGATCTCTTCGGTCAACCCTAAATCCAGTGGAAAGCTGAGGTATCAGTAAATGCCATCTTCTAGTACTGGCTAGATTGCAGAAATGATCAGTCCTTAGGAACAGGAAGACCTGACAGGCATCATCTATGGTTGCAGCAAATGCACAGTCCTCCACCAGGACAAAGCCATCAATTTCATCCTCTTTAGCACTACAGCAGCAGAGCTGATCACCTTGCATGACAGTCCCTATTCCTTCGCACAAGCACAGCAGGCCATCATCCCTGCTAAATGCCAATGCCCTACCCATGTGACGAGAATATGGGAGAATTATGATGAGCGCACAAGCACCGCACAGCACGACCCAATTCAATGCTACACCACAGAACGAGTTCGTCGACCAGGTCGCGGCCATGCAACGTAGGGACGCGAGGACCATGAACAGTGGCGTCAGTTCTGACATGCCAAGTACCCCATCGTCTGCTGCGAAGAAGCTGCCTTCTTCATGATGATTAGGAAGGGTTTCTGCTGAGTCGCTGCAATGGGAGGCACTGTTATCACCGGGTTTTCTAAAGTTGGGATTAGGCACCAATGATGAGGTGAACGCGGTGGTGGACACACTCTTTCCACGCAGGAAAGATGGAGGAGGAGCTTGGGAATGGCATAGGAGGGGGGGGGGGGGCATGCCTGAGAACTCAGTCGTGAAGTGGAATCCAACTCCTTCCCCAATCATAGATTCCTTCACGGCATGGTGCCTCCTTTTCTTGACCTACCTGAAGGTATATCCTATGACCTAAACATATAAACCAAGCAGAAACCATTGGTGGAACCGAATGAGATCCCAAGGGGGCCAAAGCTAAAGCTATGATTTCATGTTATAAATCTCATGTGGTGGTGGTTTTCTTCTCTACCAAGGATCACAGTTGAAGCTTATAAATCCAGTCGTGGGGTGTGTTGTATGTCTCTGGTTTCGAGAGCAGTGGTTTTGGTGCTTAAATATCCTGTCAAACCAGCTTTGCCTTTCCACACATTAATGTTCTTCCCCTGCACCCTATAATGGTTGCAGTCAATACTCTATTTGCAAGGATCTTTTCCTTGTGGATGGAGTTGGAGATCTCAAGGACAACTGCCTCCTATTTTATCTAGGGTTGAGCAGAGGGTATACGGGGTTGGAAAGAAGACAACTTAGTCATCGGCATGTGAGATGTTTGAGTACACAGTGACATCAAATCAATTTCCCAAACAGCTGCATCGGCTTGCATCTGATTGATGTGACTGGCTATGGGTTAAAGAGGATAGGGATGGGACTAAATCTATTCCCGATACCATTGCTCGATCTACTTCTTTTTGCCTCGAAGCATAGGCTTCAAATCATGAGATGCCAACCTACTGTGGCATGAGGTTACTGTCACTAATAATTTCAGTTTCCCTACATGAGCACTGTTGCACCATCTGCCACCAAGGGCGTATGTATCCCTTACAAACATGACATGAGAGACAACCGTGACAGCTTGCTTCCTATGTGGGAGGGCTTAGCTCTTCTCCAATCCAAGGAAGATTCCCTTATCCTGAAATGTTATCAGATTTCATGCAATGGATAGATATAGCTTCCCGGCTTCTGCCTCAAAAATGCAGATAAGGTCAACCGTCGGCTGAGAGTTGGAAACCCCAAAACGGTACAGTAGACATATAAAGACATGAGTCCTCCCTGGCACTTTCCAATTCATAATACATCGGGACCCCACCTATGTGGCTGCTTCATCATGACTGTAATGAATGGATCATGGCAAGGTTGCTGTGGTTGGTGGATTTGGAAGTGGAGAGCACAGAGCGGATAAGGAAGTTATGTAGTTTTGGGTGTGGTGGATGCTCTCTGGTAATCATGTTGTTCTACATGCTGGTGTATGCTTATCTGAAACCGATATGGTTAGAAAGAAGAAGCAGATGATTGCTTCAGTGCTGAAAGCCACGAATCATGGGGAAAAAGTAGACGTGAGAAAGCATGGCATGTAAAGTAGGAAGAAGTAGCTGCTAAATTGCTCAATCATGGGTGTGAGGAAGAACAGCAAGCACATTTTTACAAGGACCAACTGAAAACTACAGATGACAACTCATCAGTCTCCATCCTTTTTAATCAACAGCGAGTGAATCCATGATTTGGATCTCTTGATTCAGTTGATTCTGAAATGAAATCATGCTGAACCAGTTGCTGTAAAGACAGCAGCAGCAATTGCTTCAGATTTAATGTTTGCAACACTAACAGAGCATTCTTTGAGCAGAGTCAATAATATCTTTCTACAACTTCAGAGTCAATACCATCATCGATGTCGAGATTCAAAACACAAAAAGTAAATAAGGTGGAAACAAGATGTGAAAGCAGATCAAACCAAGTGAACTGGACACATGAAACATGGGAGAGTTCAGCAAGGAAATGATGTGCCGAAGTCTGGAACCATGGACCACTCACTACCAACAAGCATTCCATACTTAACATGCTTGAGACAAAAAAAGGACATCCACGGAAACATTAAACGTCAAGCTAGTCGAGAACATGCACTGCTGGGTTTCTTCATGACAGAATCATGTACTCATGCATCACTTGCCAATATGTTTACTAACCACAAGTAGGGAACTTTGTTCAACCAAAATATGGCATAAGATTCAGAATCATATCCTTTCTTTTACATCCTGTTATGGTGGCTGCCATAGCCCAACATCCGCAAGTACCATACGGTAGACCTTTTTTTTTTTTTGGCTGCAGAAAGAAAACAATTGGTGTTCCTTCTTTTTTGATTGTACAAAGATCTAATTACAAGATTACAGCTGCTCGTGTAAAGGGAAGAAAGCTTGAATTGCAGTGCTTTCAAGTCCAAGAAGAAGAAGAGTAAGGGGACATAGAGATTGCTCTGCCTCTTTATGAGGCGTTCTTTGTACCTAAA